TTTAGGCCTAATTTTATTAGCACCATGATGAGTTCTCGTTGGTAGAGGGCGAATGAGATCGCCTATTAATCAATTTTCGATAAAAAAAATGAAAATGAAGATTTATGGTAAGAATACAGAAATGTCTAACTTACTCCTGAAAAAGCGCACCCACCAGTCCAGCCCCGCATTTGTGATTGAGTGGAGGTCCAGAAGACGAGGACAAGGCAAAACGCAAGACTCTTGGAAGAGGTATCTGGTCAAGATTACCTTATTACAAGGAAATGGTACTTTACAAAATCCCACTGAAAATTCATTATAGGTTACATTGCTAAACATGGAAAATGCGGCATTGAAAGAGTTTAGACCGAGATGAAAGAGGCTGACGCGGAATCTGCATAAGGACACATTTAGACCTCTTCACCTAGCAACAACTGGCAAGTATTAATGCAATTGAAAAAAGCTGCAATTCGACAATGTGGAGCAGGAAAGAGCTAATGGGAGCAACCGAGACCTGGAGTTTTACATTAGAGCAGAGGTTTAGGAAAGCTAAATGATAGTGAGTGGTGCACAACGACATTTAGCAACACCAAATCTTTTGAAAAGATGCCTCTGCAAATTTAATGTATTATTCAATTGTTCAAACGTCAAAGGTGCTACTATTTCTGATGCTAGTTACGTAGACTAGCGCTATAGAATGTCGTTTCGAAAATTTCTTATCATGCATATTATTAGCGGGTGGATCCAAACAGCATGCCACAGATTGCGCTTTCCGAATATGAGTGAAAGATAAGGGAATTCGTTTCCCTTGCTGGCATACATAATTGCCACAATAATAAATAAAATGTTTGAAAGGTAAAAAAGATTGTCATGGAATCATCTGACCTTAGATGATCAACAATGTTTAGCTAGAAGTTACAATAGTAGCGCTTCAATCAATATGGGTTGTCAAGGCGTACGATCCTGTAAAATGGATTTAAATACACTCATTTTTTACTTGCTATTCAAATGTGAATAACAAGATATTTTCGTAAATAAGGGGCAAACAGATAACTGTCAGTTGATTGGGACGAACTGTCATATTTTGACAAAACATCAATTATAGAAAAGCATAGAGACCATCAAAAAGTGAAATAAGAATTGAATCAATGTATACAAGTTGTTTGACCTTATTTTTACAACTTGATCATATTGGCAGAAACACCTATAGAAACGCCCTCTGTCCGGAGTCCATAGTATGTATGATAATTTCCAGTCGGACCATTTGCCACAGATACGTTGTAACTCTGTGCTAACGATGGCACATCTCACTGATGATGCCGGTAAAACGCCTTAAAATGTACCAAATCATCACGAAGACATTGGCAGAGGACGTAGAACAAGGTATATTTCACATGTTCTTCCTTT